ATGAAATTAACATTATTTGAAGTTGAAGGATTAAATTGAGGATTTAGAAAAGTCGAAGGATAAATTTTACATTATTAAATAGTTTTAGGATGAAATCAAGGATATCGAAAAGTGGAAGAATAAAATTGAGGATCTAGAAAAGTTTAAGGATGGATTTTACATTTATGAAATAGTCTGAGGATGAAAATGAGGATATATAAAAGTTAAAGGATAAAATTAGCTTTATTATGAAGTTGAAGGATTAAATTGATGATTTAAAAAGTTTTGTAATGGTTGAAGATACACATTATTGAGAACATTAAGGATGAAATTGAATTTTTGTAATGGTTGAAGGATGGGGTTGATATTAAATTATAGTAGGATTACCAAATAGAATTTCTGTAATAGATGAAGCATGAAATTTATTTTAAATTGTAGTTGGATGACCAAATTGAATTGAAGTTTTAAAGTTTTAAAAAGTTGAAGGATGAAATTGGTTTAAAAGTATAGACAGATGACCAAACTAACGTTTTCAAAAACATAAAGGATAAAATTGCTTTTTTTTATTATAGTTGTATGACCGAAATGATTTTTTTTTTGTAAAAGTAACATTTTGGATGACTAAATTAAATGTTTATAATAGTTGAAGGATGAAATTTCATTGAAAGTATAGATGAATGAACAAGAGCAAACTGAAGTTTAATCCTTATACTATTGGACAATCAGTTCAGTCATCCAACTATGTATTAAGAGCAATTATAGGATAACTATAATTCGGTCCCTAAACTACAAATAAAGAACAATTCCGTTCTTCCTTTTTGAGAAACTACAATTCTGTCCCACAACTGTAAAAAAGAACAATTTCATTCCTCAACTACTGGAGAAGATCAATTCGGTGATAGAACTATTATGAAGAGCAATTTCTCCCCTCAACTATAGATGAAGTTCAATTTGGTGATCCAACTTTAGTTTAAAGTAATTTCATCCTTCTGCTATTCGATGATTACAATTCCGTCATCCAATTATAAATAAAGAGCGATTTTATCATTAAACTATTAGAAATATTAATATGGGTCATCCCACTATAATAAAGAGCAATTTTGTCCTTCAACTATGGGGGAGTTCAATTCCGTCATCCAACTATTTGGTAAGAGCCTTTACGTCCTTCAACTATTTGAGAAGTTCAATTCGGTCATCCAACTATTAGACAAGAGCAATTTCATCCTTCGACTATTTTGCAGTTCAATTCAGTCATCCAACTATTTGGTAAGAGACATTTCATCCTTCAACTATTGGAGAAGTTCAATTCGGTCATCCAACAATGAATTAAGAGCATTTGCATCCTTCCACTATTGGAGAAGTTCAATTCGGTCATCCAACTGCTAGTCAAAACAATTTCATCCTTCAACTATTGGATAAGTTCAATTCGGTCATCCAACAATGAATTAAGAGCATTTGCATCCTTCCACTATTGGAGAAGTTCAATTCGGTCATCCAACTGCTAGTCAAAACAATTTCATCCTTCAACTATTGGATAAGTTCAATTCGAACATCCAACTATTTGGTAAGAGACTTTTCATCCTTCCACTATTGGAGAAGGTCAATTCGGTCATCCAACTGTTAGTCAAGAGCATTTGCATCCTTCCACTATTGGAGAAGTTCAATTCGAATATCCAACTATTAGACAAGAGCAATTTCACCCTTCAACTATTTTTGAAGTTCAAT